CCCCCACATTTTTTCCACACCAAACTTTTGTGCTCTCTCTCCCTTCTCTCTAAATCTCTAACTCTACTCTCTAAGTTCTAGTGTTCGGTTTTCATTGCTCGGTTAATCATTTTTAGTTTCGTGTTTGGTTTGTAAAAAAGAAAAAAAAAATCTGAAAAAAAATACCACATCTCCCCATTTATTTTTATTTCATCATATTCTATATAATTTTCCCCCATTTATTTTATATTCTTTAAATTATAAAATGGCAAGCTCTCGTGGTGGTCGTGGTTCGAATTTCGGACAGAAACGTAGAAATATCGGCACCGGCACGTCTTCGTCGAGACCTCCATTGCCGGAATTTGCGAGTCCATCGATACATGTGGATATTCCCGGTGTCGCCGATGAAATTGATGAGGTGACGATCGAGCGAATGTTTGGCTCAATTCAGCCTGAGCAACAAGAGAAACAGCAGCCATATCACGACCATTTCGATGATATATTTGGAGAGTCCCCGCCGGAGGTTCAGCAACCGACGCAGCAGCAACAGCCGGACCCGGGCCACCCGACCTCTGTCTCCGCCCGTGCCAGACCAGCATCTGCCATATTCAAACAACATTACACGAAGGTGGTCAATCCGACAAGAGGTGAGAATCACTTTTATGCTGTTTGCAACTACTGCCCGGCGAACGAGAAGAAGCAGTACCATTTCAAAAAGCGAGGGGTACGGATCGTTGAAACGACACTTAAAGAGGAATCATCCGACAAAATTGGGAATTGACAGGACACAGACGCAACTCCCGAGTAGTAGCGCTGCATCTGCCACGATTGGTACAGGTACGCCATCTTTATTTCAGTACTCACATGAAAATCATCGACGTCATTTAGCTGAATTTGTTTCTGCTTCATCTCTTCCGTTTAGCTTTGGTGATAGTGATTTATATGAACATTTTGCTCAAATGACTTTGAATCCGGCTTCCCACCGGGTTCCACGTACTACTCTTACTCGCGATCTTCAAAAAATAGTGGCGGAAAAAAAAGTAATTTTGCAAGAAACTTTTAAATCTTTAAATCATAGAGTATCCATTTGTGCTGATATCTGGTCTGATCATTGGCAAAATAATTTCTATTTGGGAATTACTTGTCATTGGATAGATGAAAATTGGAGTTTACAAAAACGTTTAATTGTTATGTTGCATTTCATGAACGACACACTGCTTCTAATATTGCTCGTTTAATTTCAAAAATTTTGGATAAATATCATATAGGTAAAAAAGTGTTTTCCATTTCGTTTGATAATGCTACTGCAAATACTGCATCTATACGTGAACTTACCGATATTTGCACTCCAATTTGCGGCAGAAGATTTTTTCATATTCGTTGTATATGTCACGTCTTAAATCTCTGTGTACAAGCTGGTTATCATGCTTTTAAAGATTCAGTCACGCCATTTAGGGACACTAGTAATTATTTACATAAACGTCCCCATGAAATGAAAGCATGGGGACGTTTTTGTAAAGATCAAGGGGTGAAACCAAAAAAATTTCAACCCGACGTTCCTAACCAGTGGAACTCAACATTTTAAATGTTGAGTGACACGGTTCCGTTTATGACACAAATGCAGAATTTTTTTAACCATTCAAAACGTAAGGACTATGATGTCCGAGTGTCTACAAGAGATTGGGAGAACTGTAATGCACTTATTCAATTTTTAGAAACATTTCAAACTGCTACTAACATGCTTTCAGGTGTTTATTATCCTACTGCGCAGCTTGTGTTAAGTCAAGCTATAGCCATAATGTGGGCTTTCAAGGATCTTTACGACTTGAATTTTATTAAATATGGTTATTTAGTTGAGGAAATATTAAAGAAATGGTTAAAATATTATTATTTCATTCTTGATACACATTTAGTTGCATGTTTGTTAGATCCTTCGGTACGTGAAGCTCGCTTGGTAGAGCAGCTTAACATGTACTATAATTATATGTATGAACTCCCAATCCCGACTGATGTCCCGACATACAGTCAAAAACCTAACGTACTGCTGCTAGTCGAGCAAGCAAAAAATTTGTTGTATGACATGTTTCGGGAAACAGCGATCGCACAAGGTGAACCTCCCAGCACATTTGCTCGTGGCGGCGGGGGTAGCAGCAGCGGGTCTTCTTCTTACAGCGGTAGTCAAGTAGGCGCTTCGAACTTTCAGGAGTGGTGGGCATCATTAAATCCCTACAAGAATGTTGGCGCTAAAAGGGCAAGGGGAACTGGATACTATGAGCTTGATCACTACCTAACGTTGAATTTGATACTTACGATTGCTCGTGAACCAAGTCCGCCACTAAATTTCGATGTCTTGGACTAGTGGTCGAGAATGCAAGGCATATATCCTATTCCTTGCTTAATGGCCAAAGCGATTTTCGCCATCCCAGCATCTACAGTTGCGGTCGAACAAGCCTTCAACGAGGGAGGTTATATGCTCGACGCACGATGATCGAGGCTGACGCCCGAAAATCTACAAGCACAAATGATGCTGATGGATTGGAAAAAGGCCGAACGAAGGATGCAAACGGCTATGTACGTAGATGAAAAAGCAGACGACGACGATGACGCATCCGATTTTACGAGTACGACGAGTGGTGGAACCGGAATAAGAGATGACGAGTATGACTATTAGAGACAACCACTCGTGTACAGGTAAGTAAATCGAAAGAACTACGTGGACTTTGATTCCCAATATAAGGGATACGTAGGCAACTTAATTGACATTTATAAGTTAAAATATCATTTTTTTTTCAAATAAAAAAAAAATTTCAAGTTATATGATATTTTAACTTAATAAATGTCAATTAAGCTCAGTCCAAATTTTTTTTTTTTGTATTTTTTTATATCAACTTTAAAATATCTAAACGTAACAAGAATTAATTTGCCTCTAGAAAACATTGTTCGGAAATTCAGGCAATAATATCAATTATTCCAATAATGGCCCGCCCACAATCTCCATTGTTGTATTGTAGACGTATTAGAGAGTGCGACGCAGGTTCCACTTCCACAACGGAGATTGTGTGCGTGGCATTATTGGCGTAATTGATGTTATTGCTTTGATCATTATTTGGTCAATTTTTGGAATTTCTTGAGCTGTAAGTAAATTAAAAAAAATACTTGGACTTTTTTACAAGTCAAAATATCAATTAAAATAAGTTAAATTACATCAATAGAAGGATGTTCTATAATAAAGACAATTGGAGTATCTTAACTTAACAAGAATTAATTTGCCTCTAGAAAATATTGTTCAGAAATTCAGGCAATAATATCAATTATTCCAATTTTGCCCCGCCCACAATCTCCGTTGTTGTATTGTAGACGTATTAGAGAGTGCGACGCCAGTTCCACAACGGAGATTGTGTGCGTGGTATCATTGGCGTAATTGATGTTATTGTTTTGATCATTATTTGGTCAATTCTTGAATTTCTTGAGCTAGAAGTAAATTAACAAAAAGTACTTGGACTTTTTGACACACCACTAATACGTAGGCACCTTAATCCTTAGGTTAAAATATCAATTAAAATAAGTTAAATTACACCAGTAGAAGGATGTTCTATAACGGAGACAATCGCAGTTGGCGTCGTTTACAGGGTTCTTAACGTTTAACAATCTTCCAACACTGCAAGGAAGTTGCAGTCTTTTTCACACACCACTAAAAATATTGGATTATTGTATCAATAATTTGATACAATAATCCAATATTTTTAGTGTTTATTGATACAATAATCCAATATTTTTAGTGTGTGTGGAAAAGACTGTAGCTTTCTTGTAGTGTTAGATGATTGTTGAACATTTAAGAACCCCGTAACCGATGTCAACGACAATTGTTTCCGTTATAAAACATCTTTCACAAATTTAAACAATAACATCAATTACGTCGATTATGCCACATCCACATTCTCCCATTGTGGATCCTGCTTCTCACTCTTGCATACGTCTACAATATAGCAGTTAGAGTTCTATGACACAGGCCGACATACAAATTCTTCAATACTTGAAGTTTGTTGAAGTTTCTTTGTGTATACTATCTCTATATTGTTGTATTGTAGGCGTATGAGAGAGTCAGAAACAGCATCCACAATGAGAGAATGTGTGCGTGACATAATCGGTCTAATTGATGTTATTGCTTTCAACTCTAATTGGTAAACTTTTCGAATTTCTTAGAACTGAAATCCACAATGAATCACGACCTTAAAAAACGAATGCCTAATATTGAAACTTAAAAGAACTACGTGGACTTTGATTCCCAATATAAGGGGTACGTAGGCACCTTAATTGACATATCTTATTAAATGTCAATTAAGCTCAAGTCCATTTTTTTTTTATCAACTTTAACTACATATGTTGATTCAACAGTATCTTGAGTTTCCGTTATAAAACATCTTTCTCAAATACATATGTTAATTCAACAGTATCTTGAGTTTCATCAACGTCATCATGCAATCCGACTCCAATACACAGTCTGGAGTAATATATCCGTTCTTTTTGTTAGTGTCCTCAAGCATGTTACTTAATAGATGTTGTCCAAGTTATCATCTTTGGTGTGCAAGATGTTGATACTATTATCTCACAGTCCCATACGGGTACATACCTTTTCACGCATAACTGGTACCGTTGGATAATGATATAAAACTAATGTCAAATGTTAATGACTCAACTGCAAGTTTACCATAACATTATTTTGCATCCCTTTTCTCGACATTGAGTACGTATTCAAAAGATAACTAAGTCTGTATAAGCGTTCTGTTGTTTGTGTTATAGCAGGCGTAATCTAGCATTGACAGCATAATATGTAATGGAGAATATTGACCTGATATCATTGTCCTAAATGAAGTTAATGTTTTGAGTTCATCTTCTAAAGTTCAAATATTAACTCAAAAACATTAACAACAAAAGGGAATTGTGATGTCACGTCAATATTCTTTATTATGTATTATACTTTCAATTCTAAATTTCGACTGTTATAGCACAAACAATAGAACATTTATACATACTTAGTTATCTTTTGAATTCTTACTTAACGTCGAGCAGAGGAATTCAAAATAATGTAATGATAAAGTTGCAGTTGAGTCATCAACATTTAACATTTGTTTGATACCATTATCCAACAGTACAAGTGATGCGTGAAAAGATATTATGGAATTGTGGGATAATTGTATCAACATCTTGTACGCCAACGATGATAACTTGGACAGCTTCCGTCAAGTAACATGCTTGAAGCCATTAACAAAAAGAACGGATATATTACTCGAGACTGTGTATTAGAGTCGGATTGCATGATGACGTTGATGAAAATCAAGATATTGTTTAACTAACATAGTAAAATTGAATTTCGCAAGTCCTATAAAATAACATTATACCGGCGGAACCGCCGATCAATCAAAAACGGTAATACATCTCAACATATTTTTTATTTACCAAAAAAAAAAAAAANCCGCGAACCGCCGGAACTGGCGAAAACCGGCGGGTCCGGGCTCAGAACCGGTCCCGGACCGCCCCCTTTTCCGGTCCGAGACCGGGCCTCGTCCAAGCGGACCGTCGACCCGACGGGCCGGGCCAGGCCGGGCCCGGACCCGTTGAATGGCCACGTCTATATTCAGACTTGAGCTAGTTATTACTAGAATAAATATTGTAAATAACACGAGGATGCTTGGATACTAGTATTTCTAGTTGCAGCAACTTTGTACACAATGTAACTAGCAACTTTAGTTCAAGTGTAATAGTATAAATAGGTCTCTTGTAACCCTAACACAACTACTGTTCATTTTTCTTAATTTCAGCCGCAATCTATTTTCTCTCTCGATTCATCTTCTCTCTCTATTCGGTCCAATATTTCTGATAGTTTATTCAACTCATCCCTTCCCCTCAATATATTAATTCAGAACATGCTGAGCCTAAGTGGCAGACTCGCATGGTTCGGGATTCTATTTGGCAAAGTTACATGCTTCGTTATTAGGCTTGAGTAGATTTTAATTACTTCCCATCCAAAAATAATTATGTTCAGACTATCCATAAATATATTGATTATTTATGGTCATGTTATATGTATTAATTGCATCTTAATATCATTTTTTATTATAACCATTGAATTGTAAATATATTTCAAAAGTTAATAACTTTTGTTTTTTTTTATCAGTTTTACATATATAATATATCAAATTAATCAACTCTTGATGAGCTTCGATTTAACATTCATATTGTATGTGCAAAAAAAATAAATTATATTTATCTTTATAACAATAATAAAATTGTTTTTTATTATTAATTAAAAAAATAAAATTATTTATCAATTAATATATTTATATTCAAGTAGTTATATAATATAAGTCATAAAAATTACTATAATATAACACATGTAAGTTATGAGTAACAAGTGTTATTCTAAAATATATAATAATACATATATTTTATAAAAAAATAAATAAAATTTAAAATAATTTTTCTCATTAATTTTAAAATTTAAGAATAATTTTTTAACAACCACCCGTGTAATACACGGGTGTTGTACTAGTGGACCTTTAGAGCTCAATAAGCATTGTGTTGGTATGAGGTTATGTAAAGCGGATTAAGATATTAAATCATATATTGTAAACTTGGATTATAAAGAATGTAAGAGATTAAATTGATCAGATCAGTTTTGTTATGAAGCCAACAGTTGGCTCTATAGTAGAGCCAACCTTTTATATGCAACAAGTAAACCATATCATATTCTTTGATTACTTAAATAAATACTAATAATTTTATTAATATGGTATATGGTCTAGTATTTTCAAGAGAGAATTTCCTTTACCTTTTCGCACAATTTTTCTTGTCTTGTGTAGTACAAGATTTGACACTAATATGTTTTAAGTCAACTTTACAACCAAGCCTCTTAATTGAGTTTAAATGAGTGATTTGATCATGACTATCCTTCATATATATGACATGAATTGATTTATAATCTCATTATTCAAGGAGATCTTGTCAATTTGGATGCGGGTCGTCCGCTCAGGTAGAGCATCAACAATGCTTTGAGTTCAATCACAAAAAACTGTATGCCACCTAAGAAATAGACATAGTCTAAAAAAATGTATCATCCAATGCAAACAAAAGTAGACTGGGTCCTGCTGATGTGGCAACCAGAAAAAGAGACTCGGGCTACTCTTAAGTCTATTTTAGACCCAAGTAGAGACTAGTCTGTTTGCATTCGAGTAAATTTTATTAAATTTACATAGTTCTATCCATGTCATCCAATACTTGAGTTTATTTATATGTCACACAGGCATGACTAGACCTAATGCATTATAGATGCTCGTAGGATCTTACTTGAACACTTGCCAGCTCAGCATTAGTGTGTCTGTGTGATTTTTGAATCTCATCCTAATTCTGCATGACAAAATCGCTTTTTCCTTAATGATAGACCAAATTGTCCACGTCACATCTGTAATTACTACGGAGAATATGGAGAAAGCCGGGCCATGGGAATCCAAGATCCTGATTCCCAACTGCCTGCTGACAAAATTTTCGATCTCAACTATGGGCAACCGGTAATTAATTAGTTATGAATAATTGTCATTTGATGTTTCAGTTGCCAAGTAGGCAAATGTATATTATTTACTCCAATGCTTCCGAATACTTGAACGTGGCTTATATAAGAGATACGCCCTTATCCCCATATTTATTTGTAAATTTGTTGGTGACCTCAAAGAGACCACAGTCTACTGTCCACTCCTTTTTAATCCATGCCTCTATCTACCAATCAAAATTCAAAACCCAAAAGAACCACTTCCCTCCACCCTTTTTTAATCACAATATTCTCCCATTTTGTCCATCTCTCTCTCTCCCCCTCAAAGTTGGGGACTGGTTTAGCAGGAGTTCAATATAATCTAATATTTGTTCCTGGGTGAGTTCTCTATTTGTCCCAAAGATGTCATCTACTAAATTGAATGTGATATCGGGAAATCATACAAGTGATTGTTGCAAATTTCATTGTCTAGCGGAGAGATAAAAGTTGAATGCTTGTATAATTTCCGCCCCATTTCAATTTGATGAGTAGATTGATTATCTTCTTCTTCTTCTTCTTTTTTTTTAGCTACACTCAAATCCATAGAAAAAAAATGGTATACATAAGTTCACATAACAAAAGTCTTCACTTTCTCTGTTTCAACTTTTTAGTTAGGGAAGTCAAAGAATGGCGCAAATCTTGGCCCCCTCAGCACAATGGCAGATGAGAATCTCGAAGAACTCAATGGATTCAAGCCCATTGACAAACAAGGTGGGGAGCTCAGTGGTCCTCAAACAAACCAAGAAAGGGGCCGTTAAAAGCTCAGCCAAGTTCAGAGTTTTAGCCGTCAAGTCTGAAAACAGCACTATCAACCGCCTGGAACAGATGCTGAACTTGGACGTTACTCCATACACGGATAAAATCATTGCTGAATATATTTGGTCCATGTCTATTTTTTTTTTCCCTTTAATGTATAGATATCTCATTTTTTTTTCTGTTAGACTAACTAGAGGTGTATTCAATTTGAAATTGGCAGGATTGGAGGATCAGGAATTGATGTCCGTAGTAAATCAAGGGTACGATGATAAATATCATGTTTTCAATTTTTTCATTATATTATTTTGTATTGTGATGATAAATCATGTAATATTACTGGTTACTTCTTTTAATAATTTTTAGACCATTTCGAAGCATGTGGAACACCCTTCCGAGCTTCCAAAGTGGAATTATGATGGATCGAGCACAGGACAGGCCCCTGGAGAAGATAGTGAAGTCATATTATAGTAAGTTCGTTTGCAAATGACATTTTCAATAATATTTCAGCATAATTCTTTCATTTATTTATAATTTTCTGATAAATTAGCTCTGGCTTTGCAGCCCACAAGCAATTTTCAAGGACCCGTTCCGTGGTGGCAATAACATCTTGGTTAGTTGAAAAAAACAATAATAGTTGGTGCTGAATAAGGTTTGAATAATGGTTTTAGTTTTAACTTCTTTTATTCCATAGAGTGTTTTGTCCCGATTTTTCATCTGTGTCCCTCTTCCTTTCTGTTACACATTAAGATTCCATCATGGTAATTTAGTTCTCGGGGCTTTTGTCCCCTGGGTTGCATGAGAAGAGTAAAGAGAAAATTTTATTTCCATTAATCAGTTAATATAGTTTCTTAATCTTGTGTGAATTACATGTCAAGCCAATTGCAGTGGGATGTGAATAGGGCATTATTTGTTTCTCATGCATTTATATGGCACAAGACAGGTCATATGTGATACATATACCCCAGCAGGTGAACCCATACCAACAAACAAGCGCTATAGAGCTGCCCAGGTTTTCAGTGACCCTAAGGTTGCTGCCGAAATTCCATGGTAATTTCACGTCCGATTTTCTAG